GCCTGCTTTTCCCTCTCCCTCAGCTGTTCCCCCTGCTTTTGTGCTCTCTTGTTCTCTCTCTCTCTCAAATAAATAAAAAAAATCTTAAAAAAAAAAAAAAAGGAATGTGTTCATTTGCAAGGAACAGATAGCCCATTCCACAATGGCTATAATGAATAGAAATTTGTTTCTATTTATGACTTTTTTTCATGTAGGGTATGGAAATTGATAATGCAGATGTTGATTCAGCTTTTTAGCAACAACCTTTCCATATGCTCTTCCCACCATCTGAAATTTTCTTTTTTCTATATCCGCAGTTCTAAATTTTACCCATCTTTTAAATTATAAACTCTTCTACAGAGTTTTTATAGAAGACTATTCCCCAGGTGAAAATACTCTGTGTATACTTTTAGGTAGTACTAAAGCTGGAAAATGGCCTTTATCATTGAGTTATTTGCATCTATATCTATATCTCTGTATATCTTACATCTTCTATGTTAACTTCCCACTAGACTATAAATTCCATGTCTTGGGTATATCATTTGTTACCCTCTGAAAAGTGCCTTTTTTAAGGTAGACACCTTTCATTTACTTGTTGGATGAATGTGAAAGAATGAGTAAACCTTACCTTTTAAGCAAGCTTTCTCACTGCTATTTAGAGTCTAGAGGAAAGATAAGTTGTCAGGGGTGTGAATGTGGAGTTTGGGGTTTAAGCAGATAATTTAATTTACAGGAATTAAATGTACATATTACTGAAAGGAACACCATTATCATATAAATTAGTTTCTGAATGCACAGATACTTCTTTAATGCTATCCAAATGTATCTTCACATATTGTTAATACAATCTGTTAGTATTATGTGGAAATAAAATGGAAACTATTTTTTCTTCTAGTGCTTAGATGAATATGAAGATGATGAAGCAGGCCAGAAAGAGCGGAAACGTGAGGATGCAATTACACAACAGAACACGATGCAGAATGAAGCTGTCAGCTTATTAGATCCAGGCAGTTCCTACCTGCTACAAGTGAGTATTTATTTATTTAAATTTAATTTTAAAGAATTACCTTAAAAATTCATTTTCTTATGAGTTACTATATGTTGATTGATTGTGAACTCTAAGATCAAGAGTGACGTGCTCAACGAACTAAGCCAGCCAGGCACCCCTAAAAATCTATTTTTTAAATTTTTTTATTTTACAAATGAATATCTAAAAATACTAGGATGTCAGTTGCTATTTTAACAATCATTTTTAAGTAGCTTTTAATAATTTTTCCATTCTCCTCTTGGTTACATCTGCTCCATTTAAGTATTTTCAATGGATTTAACCATTGACTTTCTTTCTGTTCAAATACAAGTATATATGGTTCTTGGTTCCTGATCAGTGATAGCTAGGAAAAATAATTTCCTCTTTGCTCTTGATAAAGTTAGAATTAGTAAGCTTTTGAGTGGACAGTTATGCTCTAGGCTGATATTGCATTAGAATTATATAGCAACTAAAGAATGAACTCTGTGTAGTATTGTGAATTGCCAGAAACATCTGCACTTCTGTATAATTATACAAGTAAAATTAAACTCAATTTCAAATTAGCTGTTATTTTGGGTTTTTGTGGCAAAGAAAACTGGGAGTTGATCGTATTAGAATGCCTCAGTAGAAAGCAAACTACTCTGCAGAACTGTTTAATTTAAATTGGAATTTGGGAATGATCGTGATATAATCTAATCTTATATTAATTTGATGATTGAGATCATAAACTACTCTGTCATCTTCTCAGAGTTCATTTTTGATGTTAAAAAAAAATTAAGTAACCTCCGTACCCAGTATGGGGCTCAAACATGTGACCCTGAGATCAAGAGTTGCATACTCTTCTGACTGAGGCAGCCAGGTGCCTCCAGTTTTGACTTTTTAAATGCATTTTATTATATATCACTTTAAAAGGCGTTTCTGAGCAGATCGAATATCTCCCCATTTTATTAATGAAAAAAATTAAATATCAACTCTATTACTTTGTAAGGTTATGATAAAAAGGCATTTGAAAGAGGCAAATATTTTGAAGTAGTTTGGAAATGCAGGTGCAAAACTTCTTTGTCATCTGCTCTTTGAGGCAGATACACTGATGGGAAGAATGATGAAGTGATGCAAGTTTATCTGTTCTTTGTATCTAAGTTGCTGTTACTAGAAGTACCTACCCTGTTATGACATGGTGTAAGCTAATAAGCCATGTTTCTCTCAGTATCTGTGTGACTATTCAGAGTCTAAAATATCTTTGTTTCCTTTGTTTAACAAAATTGAAGTTAAATCTGGGTATATTCCAGGTGAAGATAGAGGCTTAATTTATTGAAATAGAGACAATACAGTATTTTTATTAGGAATAAGTTTATTAAGGGGGCACCTGGGTGGCTCAGTGGATTAAGCCCTCTACCTTCGGCTCAGGTCCTGGGATGGAGATGGAGCCTGTCATTGGGCTCTCTGCTCAGCAGGGAGCCTGCTTCCTTCCCCACCCCTCCGCCTGCCTCTCTGCCTACTTGTGATCTCTGTCTGTCAAATAAATAAAATCTTTTAAAAAAATTTATTAAGAATTAAAATTTTAATTCTTGGTCATGCCACTTTGGTATACTCAAATAGCACCAGGCACCTCTGTGGGGAATCTGCTTCTCCCTCTGACCACCCCCCCCCATGCTCTCTCTCTCAAACAAACAAATAAATAAAATCTTAAAAAAAAAAAAAAAATGTTCCTACCAAACCCTTAAAAACAGCCATTTGAGAATAAACCAGCAGAGCATTACATCGTCTCGGATGATGTACAGTGAACATCAGCCTACAGTAAAGCTGTAGATTTCATTACATGCATCAGCAAATCTACGTGGCTAACTTCTGCATTCCACTTTTACAGAATTTGTATTATACCTGTTATACCAAATAGCATTTTAAACACTGACATATAAATACCCTAATAAGGTAGAACAAAGATAAAAGTGTTTCTCTTATAAGAAACAAGATATACCCTCACCCTCACTTTTAGTCTTCAAACATTGTTGCACTTTAACTTTCATAATTTGACAGCGCATTCGTGGAACATTCTGCAGACTACTAATTTTGACGAAGAACACTTTTGATTTTACAAACATTACTTATATTAGCAGTAATGGTGGAGCTACCCCATGCTGCACAGCGAGAACCACCATTAGTGTGGTGAAACTTGTGACCCTTTCCAAGGCCACATTTCTGTGGCCTGCAGATGTCAGCCTTTGTGTCTTCCTGTGCTTGTGGACTGGTGTGGTGATCCACTGGGTGTCAGGATTTCTTTTGCTAGCTTTATAGAATGGATCAATGAGGATAACCTCAATTTATATATGGAATCTTTGCCAACCAAGTAAGAATTTCTAGGACTTTCAGATGCCCACAGTGGTGTCCAGCTCACTCCTCTGCAACAGACTGAAGGCTTCAGGCAAACTTTAGCTGGTTAACACCATGGTGGACAAGGTTGTCGTAGGTCGCACCTGTAGGGACTAAGCATTTGTGGCTACCACATTGTGCACGAATCCTAAATATGATGTTAACTTTGCTTGGCATTGTACCCTAGTCTGTGTACTTTATTTGGGCCAGGTTGACCAGGGGCCCCCATGGAGTGCAGAGAGCTGGTGGTACTGCCAGCAGTGTACCCTGAGAATAAAGTGCATTGTAGTGGACTACTTCTTCCTCCATAGTTCCTGAATGGACTCCTGAATTGGTAGGAACGATTTTGCCCATCTTGGCTTACCTTTGAGCTGATGGCTGCCACAGAGAAAGGAAAGAGCCTTTCTTTCCTTTACTGAGTATTTTCTACAAACAGAGTCGCCTACATAAAAACAACATGGCTCTTAAAAATAGAAAATTAAAAATAACATATTCTTACCATCTAATACTTAGACCTTATTCAAGTTTCACCAGTTATCTCAGTGATATTCCAAAGTATAGCAGAAGGATCTCATTCAAAATCAGGTGTTGCATTTAGTTGCTGTTATCCCCTTAGTTTCCTTTAATCTAAAGCAGTCTCTCTTTATATGTCTTATCATGGGGGGCCTAGGTGGCTCAGTTGGTTAAATGTCTGCCTTTGGCTCAGGTCATGATCCCAGGACCCTGGATGGAGCTCCACATTGGGCTCCCTGCTTGGTGGGGAGCCTGCTTCTCCCTTTGCCTGCCACTCTCCCTGCTTGTGCTCTTTCTCTCCCTCTGTCAAATCAATCAATCTATCTATCTATCTTTAAAAAAATAAATTTCTTAATCTTCCCACTTTAAAAGATTATAGGGTGGGCGTCTGGGTGGCCCAGATGGTTAAGCATCTGTCTTCAGCTCAGGTCATAATCCCAAGGTCCTGAGATCCCGATTGCCTCATCAGGTTCCCTGCTCAGCGGGGAGTCTGCTTCTTCCTCTCTCCCTGCCTCTCCCCCTGCTTGTACTTTCTCTCTTTCTCTCAAATGAATGAATAAAATCTTTAAAAATAATAAAATATTATAGGGCTACAGGGCGGTTACTTTATGATGTACCTTCAGTTTGGGTTACCTGATATTTACTTCTAGATTCAGGTTATAGATCTGTGTCAGGAATATCACAGAATTGATGCTATATTCTTCTCATTATGTATCCTATCAGTTTATACATAATTGTAATTTGTCCCCTCATGGCTGCTGATCACTCTGGTCATGTGATTAAGGTAGGGTTTTTTTTTTTTTTTTTTAGGCTTTACTTTCCTTTTCTTAATAAGTATTTTGTGGAACTGATGATCAAATGAGTCCTTTAATAGAAAAAAGTATTTTGTTGGTAAGGCTTTGAACCATGTAGATATCTTAATCTCCATCAAACTTTATCGTCTTCCTGCCTTTATATCTGTATATCTGTATTGACTCACTTTTACCTATTTTATCTGATGGGTAGTGTACCCTGTTACAATCTAATAGTTTTACTGTTGCTCCTATAACAAATTACTACAAATTTGTTGTCTTAAAAACAGCACAAACTTATCATCTTACAATTTTGTAATTTGGTAGTCCAACACAGTTCTAATTGGCCAAAATCAAGGACTAAAATCAAAGGCTTCAAAGGCAAAAATAGCACTACATTCCTTTTTGGAGGCTGTAGGGGAGAATCCATTTTCTTACCTTGTTTAGCTCTTTCTCAGTGACTACCCACATTCTTTGGATTATGGCCCTCCTTTTTCCATCAAAGCCTGCAAAGGTTGGTTGAGTACTTCTGCAGCTTGTCCTTCTGACCTTTCTTCTTAATCATATCTCCCTCTGACCTTCTTCTGCCTCTGTCTTCCACTTTTAATGAATCTTGTGATTACATTGAGCCAGTCAGACAATCTAGGATAATTTCCCTATTTAGGGTTGTTGATTAGCAACCTTTATTTCCCTTTGTCGGATAATCTAATATGTTTGAAGGTTACAGGAATTAGGACATAGACATTTTTGAGGGTCATTATTCTGCCTACCACACCATTATTATTTATTTTGATGTTCAAATTATCCCAGATTTTGCCAGTGGAAACTCTTTCGAGCTTTTGTATCCTTTGCCACATCTCCATCATTCTTGGAATACTTCTTGGCATAATATAATGTTAACAGGCTCATTTTTAACTTTCCTACACGGACATTGGAAGCAGCCATTTCTTTGAGAAGCTAAGGAGCTCCGATTCCTTTCACTAGAAAGTACTTTGAAGCCACGATCTGGGCTGTAGGATTGTTTATGATACTGAAATGTCACCATTCCTGGTCCGTCTCTGTGTATAGACCTACAGAATATATGTTTATCTGTATATATACATATCTGTCTTCTGTCTGCCCACCTGCCTACATCTATGTAGATACTGAAACTAATTTATACTGATAACTTCCAATCTAATCTAATACTATACAGTTTTATTTTAGTAGTTATAACTCCCTTTTGTGACGTTGAGAAACTTGTTTCCCGTTATCCTTAATGTTTTCTTATTTGTTCAATCCCCTTTTATGTAACTCATCTCCCATTGCTACCCCTTCCCCATATTT